TAGAGGTCCCACCTCTGAAAGGACTCGCCTGACTAATGCGGTATGTTCGCCCTTAGTCTTAGTAAAGATGACTATGTTATCTATATAGACTTGCACGTTAGGCATGTCTGCAAACATTTCCACTATTATTTATTCCAATCTAACAGGTGTTCCACCTTACCGGGGTCAATTTTAATACCTTCCCCAGATATACGGTAACCTAAAAGCTGTATTTCGTTCATGGCGAAGTGACATTTCTTCTCGTTAATCTTGAAGTTTTGTTCGTTGAGTCTCTGAAGGACTCGCCTGACTACTGCGGCATGTTCGCCCTTAGTCTTAGTAAAGATGACTAGGTCATCTATATAGACTTGCACGTTAGGCATGTCTGCAAACATTTCCACTATTACTTATTGGAAGAATGCTGGTAAGGAGTGCAACCCGAAAGGTGCACCTCTGTCCCTGTATTGTTTACCTTTTCAGGTAAAACTAAAGTACTTTCGATGGGGTTCACAAATTTGCATTTGATGATACCCCTGTGTTAGGTCTATGGATGTAAACACCGTAGCACCTTCCATTCGTCTCAGTAACTCGTTTATACGAGGGAGATGGAAACTATGAGTCGGCAATAACTTATATATTGGACTCATATCTAGACATACTCCGACTTTCTTAAATGATCCGTCAGAGTTGTGTTGATCAACTGCCAACAATGCTAAGTTAACTGGCGTTTGTTGGTAATTGATTTCGATTACCGCATCGGATAACCGTTTCTCAACTTGTTCTTTAACTACAGCTTCGTGTCTCCAAAAAACATAGTTCCTTGAAGGGCATTTGAGCTTAGTAAAGTCTACCTTAGTTAAGTCAAGGCTGACATATCCGTCGTTAAAACGGAATTTTGCCCAATCTGTGATCTTTATCTTCTAATTTACTAGAATCATATCCATGATTTTGTCCGCAAAGTCAGGTATTAATGCCTTTACTGTGTCTGACGGGGGCATCTATGGTTTCAGACAGTTATCGTCTGATTGATCCTTTAATAGATCTATGTTATTTGGTAAACCAGTTACGGCTATACCTAGAGTGAGTAAGTCACTCATCCCGACTATTAAGTCGTACTTCTGTGACATCTTAACTATCACAGCTTGGGTAGTGATATTTCTATCATCGGCCAGGGAGATTTTAAATGCAAAGCGGTCGCTAAGATTAGGTGAGTAGTTTGAGTGCGCCTTTCAATGTCTTTCATTAATGCAAAGCGGTCGGATATACATGAAATTTCTGAACCAGGATCAATCAACGCAAGGATTTTATTTCCATTGCAATATACAGGGATTATTACACGCTCATCTAAAGAGTCGTTGTTCTGTCTGTATAACAATTGTACCCGGTAGTACCGTCAGTCCAACTTAATGTCGGGTCTGACGTTACACGATTTAGCGTGATAGGCATTGTCTTCTCACATTTATCGCATTTTGAAGATAGTGTTTACAAGAATGGGCATGCTTTCCGTTCCAGTAACCGTTAGGGGTTAACTGGTACATGTCATTACCACATTTCTCATCAGCACATTTCTTGACTTGCTTGTATGCAGGTTCCTTGTGCTCCGCACGCACCTTCTTAACAGGGCGTGTAAATTGAGTGGATTCACGTGGACGTGTATGTTGGGGTCTCTCGTTTGAGGTCTGCCTGGATACGTACCCTTGATCGTTCTGCTCCCGTGGTATCTTAACAACCGCCTTCGCCTGCGAGGTTACTCGACAGGAAGAATACAAAGTGGACTCAGTTTGATAGAACTTGTCCCATTCAAGGCGGGTCAGATAAAACTTTGTTTTATGACCTAAATCTCGAGGTTCGTTTTCGTACTTACGTCTAAGTTCAGCATACAAACTTTCTCGGTCATTATTGCTTATGTTCTTACAGAACACATGCATAGCCAGGAACTCGTACCATCGCTGTATCTTGTCCTTCTTAATATCGGGACATTGCAAATCAGCATCGAGCTTCAATATATAGCTCTGTACGGTAGTGTTTGGTGCTGGCTCGGCTAAAATCGAGCTCAACCCTGGAGTGCGCATATCCTTACTTAACAAGGATGTTACTGACCAACACACTGCTGGCCAGTTTTGACCCTGGTCTAGTTCGTGGAGATGTCTCTGTAGGGTTATATAACTTGTACCCTCAGGGTCAAATGACGGCATTAACGCAGCTATCCACTGTTGCGGAGCGATATCATTTGTCTCCAACATTACCGCGAACGCATTTAAGGTGCGTGTCAGGGTATCGAGATCATGGTTATTTATGAACTCGTCTTTATTGTTGTTGGCGTCCCAGTTCGACTTAAGTCGACTGATCAGCCCCTTGTACTTCTGGTTATCGCGGGGGTCTTGCCCACGTTGAGCCTGCAGTAGTTGGTCTATCCGCTTTTGCTTAATAGCGATTAGATTAGCGTAGTAGGTGAGGTCGCTAGCGTTGTGTAAGTCATGCGCTATCTCCATCTGCGGAGTATAATCATCGACGGCGCAGTTACCTCTTCAGATTGGAAATCTTCGGCAGACTGATGAATAGCGTACCGATCGACTCGATTAAACTCGATGTCGTTGGCGTGCCTACGGGCAGCTTTAGTGCCTCGAGAATGTGCCCCAAAGTTCATAGTAGAAGATTTACGCTTCTCGTTAATGTGAAGCTCAGGTGGTATAATCACCTGTGGGTCTTGATGCATAGGGAGAATATATCCCGTAGACTTTGGTACATGGCGTGGGGCCTTTTCCAAATGGGGAAGCTCCTGCTGAGTCTTCTCTCTTGTCTCGGGATTTATAATATCTTCGAGAATAGGATACTCGTGTCCAGGGGATACTCCTGGCGTGAATAGTGTCTGCTCTTCGGGGTTTAAATCCGCGAAGGCTATCAGAAAACCTGATAGTTTGGGCTCGTCCGTGACTGGCTTTTCCAGTTGACGGGCGGTCCAATTTTCAAGAGCTTGAGTAGTACCGGGAGAAATATGTTCGCGTAAGCGTTTTGCTTTCTCACCTGACTCATACATCTTCTCTACCTGCTCAATTGTCATTCGCTTCTTAAGAGCAGTTAACTGATTCGTATGTTCAGTGTTCTCATCGATCAACTTACTTATGTGCGATGGCTGGTTTGATTCTCTCTGAGCTTTCCTTCTCATCCTCTCCCTTAAGAGGGTTACCTCCTTTCTCCGTAATTGGAGTTAGATCCTTCTGAGTGTTCTCATCAGGATTAGTATGAATCGTCTTAACCGATCCTTTTGCGTCGCTTCTTGGCTTCGTAAACGTAAGCTTCGAAGCGGACGTAATAGTTGGCCCGCGGGCTCTTTCTTCAGAGGACTTCTCTCTTAATGGAGTGTCTTCACCCTTATCTGTTGTATTGTCCTGGTTATTGATACCAGTAGCAATGATTTCGGTTCCGGATTAATTTTCCTCTTCTGTGGTCGCGTTAAATGCGGCAGCAGCAGCGGCGTCTCTCTCCAGCCTCTTCTTTTCAGCTCTAGGCTTCTTAGAAGGAGTATTGTCTTTCTTGGTCATAATCTTAACTTATGACTGCTAGCTGGTCTCTTAACGACTCGCTTATACAAGAAATTTTTTGTGGTAGTTATCTACCTTTACGTTTAAGTAGTCTAAGTAATTAATACCTTTGCTAACTTAAATATGTGTAAGATTCGGTCTATCAAGGCGATATTAACGCCTTAGAGTAAGTAAACGCTTAGGTTAAGTCTAAGTATCATGGAATTCGAAGTAAATAACCGAAATGAGTCTTTTGGTAAAGTTAGGTATGGCTCGTGAAAACAGCAATACTCTGAGGGATTGTGAGGCTGAGACATTGCCTATATATAATCCTCTCAGTACAGTTTTCGCCGAAGGGATTTTATTTAGTGTTTCGTTGTCGCTCTATTAGAAACTATGGTATGTTTCGTTGGGGCGAATCCGAGAGACTCATAAAATCCTACCTTTAGAAAAAAAGAAGAAAAAAAAGAAAAAACCTCTTGATGTCCATAGTTAGTGCATTAACCAATAACTTGCCACTTATCAAGAATTACCGACTTAGCCTTCATCAGACTGGCACATCTGGTTGGCTGAATGGAGGTTAAACTAGGTAACGCTAACTAGTCCCTAGAAACCTATATTCGGTTGTGCCATCTCGCTACCGAAGTATTCAGATATAAATAGATTTGGAAGTCAATATAGTTCTATTAATAGAACTAGTCCAAATCATATCTTTGGCATTTTAATCTGGCCTTATAATGGCCTTGTCCAAATATCTGATATGTAAAATGGAAAAGGTATTTAATTAATAAAAACCGTTAAAACCCATTTTAGGAAACTTAAGTTCCTCGTACTATTAAGAGTACGTTTATAATTTACGTACTGCTTAAGAGTACGTTTGTCTGCCACCATTGTATGCATTTTGTAGTGGGCTGGAACCTGGACCAATAAAGCGAGAAGTTTACGCGTAACATCTGCATTGTTGTTCATTCCCGAGTGGAGACCATAGCGAGTGCCATCGTCAATCATGTTCATAAGATAACGGTTACCGTAACGGAATTTGGGCATAGGTCCTTGCAGGTCAACGTGGAATTGCTCCGCGGGGCCATAAACGGTGTCAGAAATAACATGTCGGACAGGCTTACTCTTCATCTTGCCTTCTTTGGCATATCGGACAGTGTTTGGCGAATTCTGGATGAGCCCTGGCGTTTGTAATGGCGGTCTGGAGGCTAGAACATGGGGCAACAGCGGATCGGAGGGGACAAACGAGGGCAACTAACGTATAAATCCATGACGGCTTGCCTACTGCCTTCTTTCTATGGCGAAGGAACGTAGTAGCGGTGTTAAGAATATTGTAGACTTTGCGCTGAATGCGCGAAATAAATAGTGGCCACTAAAGGGCGCATGGTCGGAGCGGGACGCTAATAGCTAGAGTGGTTTCCAGGCGGACGTTGAATTTTAGGAGATCATGAATATCAGTCCAGCGGAGATTATCATATGCTTTCTCGTTGACGTAATCGACTTTGGAATAGCAGCTGACCAGCCCCCCTCCGGTCCTGCAAAGCGATGAACCTGGGCGTTGATGGCGGGCGCACAAACATCGATGGTGGGGGCATATTCAAGGAAAGGCATAGCCTGCTGCCAATCAGTATGATTGAGCATCCAGGCCTCACAATTGACACCTATTGGTGGTGGATGAGTGAGGGTTACATTATCTTTGGCTGCCATCCGAACGGTGGTTTCTTTGCTACGATGACCACTGTTCCTATGGTATTGGTCATAGGTTTGTGTGCTAGGAGGGGGTAATCGTGAAGATGAGGTAACGGAAGGAATAGGGAGAATATGTCCCGTGACATGAGTGGCAGTGACGGGAGGTAGGTGTGCCGTTGACGTACTAGTAGCATCCGGGGCCTGAGTGACAGGAAGAGATGCGGTCAAGGACTGAGTTGGGGGCGCGGGTAGCAAGGGAGTCGAAGCTGCCGGTGGATTGTGGTTGGAACGAGCTTGGGCCGGAATTGTAAAGCCGAAGTGTATGCTTGACAAAGTGTGAGCGAAGTGTTCGCAGGGTGTCGTAGGAAACGTGGTATCCACCACGTTGTTAAGGAATACCAATGGAGGTAGAGCGGTAAGAGAGTTGACATACTGGACGAGAAGAATGAAACTTCAATTTGAAGCCGTGATCTTGGAGACAATTCTGGGAGACGAGAGGCTGCTTTAAGAGTGGGTCCAGATATGTAAGACCTAGTCCAGGTAGAATGTCTCGGACGCTGATGGTTCTTTTAGAGTCGTCGGCAAGAATTAACGGTAAAGATCCTCGTTCGATGCGTATTAATAAATGAAGTGCTGTAGTATTGAGGTAATTAAGAGTAGCACCACCATCGATGAGCATCTTGTCGGATGTGGTGGATTGCTTGTGATCAACAGTAATAAGTGCTACAAAGGGGGAACATATGTTGTCTTTAGTAACACGTTTTCCACATCATACAGCATTTCATAATCACCTAGAGCTGCGAGGTAGAGATCAGCATCCCAACGATCATAGTTGTCGCCTTGCAGTGAAAGGCGAGTCCATTTAATACGATTGGAGCCGGAGGCTGAGTTGTCTCCTGAGCCGAGCATGATACGAAAGTAAATAGACCTTTAAAAAGAGAGCCCATAACTTAACAACGCCTATAACTTTGTACTCTGAATGACTAAAGTTTATTTAGTATTTTCTGAATAATATATACTGAAAAGAACGATTAGTTATAAGTGCAAAGTTCCATATTATGCGTATCTAAGAAATAGAGAATAATAAGGTAACTAGGCGATGTGAGAAAAATCTAGTTAAGTTTCTTATAAACCAATTTGATGATTAATCACGCTTGAAATATTTATGTACATATTTACGACTACCATATATAACACCACACAGTCATAACTCATACATATTTACATCATTTTTTGTTTGTTAATACTGGCTTACTGCTCACTTTCATTGCGAGTTGCCACTAGTTCAGACTTCAGACTTCAGAAGTTCAGACTTGAGATTTCAGATGTTTAGATTTCAGAAGTTGAGTTGCAGACGTCTTGAGACTTCAAAAGTTCAAGTTCTTCAAGAGTGAAGAATTTTCGTCCTCCATTTTCTTCTTCACCCTACCAGCCAGGCCTACCTTCGGCTCATAGTCCGTCCCGGTATATGTTCTATGAGACACTGACTAACCCACATATCCACGACTACACTTCTGTTGCATTCTATTTTTCATATTTTTAGTTGGAATGAAAGCTTTAAGAAAGTACTTTGAGGGGGCTCTACAGGTTATTATTAGCCTATTTTCGAGTCCTTTCCTTTCGTGTTATGCTCGCTACTACTGTGCCCAAGCCTACCCCTAGTGGTGGTTGGACCATACTCAACTATTACGGCACCAAAATCGAGTATCGACATCTGACTCGCCGACTTCCACTTTACGGTGTCGCATTGCTATATATTGAGGATCTCAGTAAAGTTCTGAATTATGACCTTGGCAAACTACAGCCAGAAATAGGTAGACCTACCAACCCCAATCACATACATGCTCGAGGTTCTTGAACTGAAAGACACTGAGTCCCGACGCAATTATGTACTGCAACACCGTTTTCGTGAAAAAAAAACGGTGACGCGACAAAATGAAGCACTTTTAGATTTCTGTATCAAATGTACAAATATAACAAGAGACACTGAGATCCTGTAATGAATACTATTTCACGTTTTCAAATAGACATTTGCATATAGTTACAAGGCTGAATATGAAATTGCTAAACAATCACACGTGCACGTTGTAAATAAGAACTTTACTCACATTGTCAGATACTCAGCAGAATTTATTCTTGAAAATACTAGGTAAAGCTGATGTCGACCCATGCCTGCCGCGCTGCCCTTTCCACTATACTTCTAAATGACATAGCAATATCACATCAACAGACATCGCAGCCTAACATGCCTTTTATCCAGCAACGTACAGACATCATGGTTGAAGCATTATTGGCACTTTGACAAATACTATCTATGCTGGATCGTTGTGCTCAAAGAATGGTGGTTGATGTGGGGCGACTACATTGATATCGATTGTATGCCTTACCCCATTCAAAAGCTTTAACCCCAACACGCACTCCAATAGTATACAGCCACTGTTTCCTACGCTACGGCCTCTATATTTAACGAAAATACCGCACACAGAAAACGTCCGTCTACTTGTTTAGGCACTCTCCGTAGTCTTGAATACTGTAGACAGACATACAATCACTTTTGTGCCATTTATCACGCCCTTTCAACCGCACTGCTTCATTGTTCCTCAATCTGGCATTCCTATGTAACCCACAGGTACCCAAACAGTTAATTTCTGTAGCTCAAAAACAATTGGAAGAGTGTGATAAAAAACAATCGTAGAAAAGTTGAAGTGTATGTCTGACTCTATATATATCTCTCCCAAAATGATGTGCCTATATACAGTACATGACTATATGCTCGACGCATTTCACGTCAGCACCTTAGCATCTAAAGCTACGCTTGGTACCGCTAACATTCATAGGCATGTTTTGATTATGTATTGTCCGGTAAGTATCGATGTTCTTTTGGTGCACTTGGATTTGCATCCAACATGACGCGCCCACAATAGCTGTACATTGAAGCTGTACATTGAATCAGCTGGCAGCTTTCTTTGTAAACTCTTTTTAAGCAGACTTTGATGCCCTCGTCCGTGTTCTCCTATTTTTCACCGGGGCCGCCTCGTTTGCCCTCATTTATTGCGACCGCACGGCTGACCAAACTATGGATGCTGCTTTACTGTCTTATGGTATCATGGTATCAAACTCAAATTATTCCGATAGACATCAGCCCGCGAAATCTTTAAAGGACGACAGACAGGAAATTTTGGCTGCAACAGTTATGTATATCATTCTTGACTCTAATAATACCTATGATTAAATAAAATGAAGAACGAAAGACCATCGACTGTGACATATGTATCACAAACTGACGTAGAGGTTGATGGCAACACTAAAATTCAACCCAAACAGAAAAGACTAAATATAGCTGCCTAGGGCTACGGTATTGTTCTAAAGTACTTTTGCAACAGATTTGATTAGCCATTTGGGGGAAATGTTTATCTCACGAGATTTGCCGCAATTCTGATATGATCATAGTAAAGACAAGTTGTGCATACATCTCGCTCACCGCAACAAAAAATAAACATACACGACCTGCATGGTAACTCATCATCTGCGACAAGCTGCAGTGACACGGTATATCAAGTAATAGTGGTTCCCTAATAAATCTGACCATTAGAACTTCCACCCTATCAGTGGACAGTGGGCATGGATATATTTGTACGGAACTAGTTGAATGTAAACGCGAAAGTGTGTAAAATCACAAATTACCATATCTCATATAAAGACTTGCACCGTTCACCAAAGTTGTATTTGCCGCCATGCTAAGTCGACGGACTTGTGAGTACCGGAAACATGCGCTGCAAACCTCGAATAGAAACGGTGCAGCCAGACAGACAACCAGAGCTATTCGACACCCCTGGTAGCTGTCGGTTTTTGTTGATGATTCACACTATTGAATATTGAAACTTGTGTATGTGAGTGTGATGATTAGTTAACTTGTGTGATTGGGCAAAAAAAGCGTGTAGATTTTGGGACGATTGTGTTTAAAGTCTGGTATGTGAGAGAATTGTAATGCGCCATTAGCAGGAATGCGTATGAAGGAGTACAGTATTCCACTACTTTATTCTTTTAGGATTGTAAACGCCTTGAGAGAGAAAGTCTTTGCATATGGAGTTTTACCTCTGTTGCAAAACCTTCAGACTGTATCTGCTATAAAACTTAAACCGTTCGCCACAATTTTATTTTTGTCTTAAATCTCGCCAAATTGTATTTTTGTCTGAAAGGTGCTGGCAGCAAACCTCGGACAGGTCAACTAGCAAAATAACTTGTAGAGGCGGTGACAAAGCCAGATAGTTGGGTAGTAGCCGAGGTGTCACGCAGCTTGTATGGAACATGTGGGAGGTTCCTGTGGTCGGTCATACATACGTCGTTGTTGCATATAAATATAGTTGAGATTTTTCTAATACGCGCATGGCCGTGACCATCGCGTTCCCGGTAAATTTTATGAAGTCGGACAATCAGAGTCGAAGCGTCATTGCGTCATGCCTCGGTATTTCGACCTGTCAGAGTGCGGGGTGAGTGGTCTATGTATTTTTTGGTGGGCAGTTTTGCGCGTGCTGGTGTCTTTATGTAGTCCTGCTGCAAATTGTGCATTGCTGAATGAAGAGTTTCCTGTGGAAGTGCGGCCTGGACATTGCTTGGTATTGCTGGCAATTTTGGTGCATGTTGTCTGGAAGCTTTGGGATATATATTGTGATTGGGCGTTTGAGGCTCGTTTTGGTGATTGGGTCGTACTGTCATCACTCTTTGAACATTGTCAACCTCTGAATATTTTCAATGGTTATGCACGCAATATTTGTTGCAAATTGTGTTGATGTCATATTCAAGAAGGGTTGGAAAATTCATGTTTTTTAAGTTTATGTTTTTTAGTGCAGACCTACTGCTGTGGAATTTCATTCACGGGCTCTTGAGTCTATTGTTGAAGGTAGTTCATTCGAGCCAGGAATAACTTCCAAGATTCCCCATTCTGATTTAGCTGTCCGATGTGAGGGTTCAACGCCATCTTAGATCATACTGCCAAGTCCAAAGTTAAATTTTACACACAGGCATCTGAGTCCAGTGTAGTACTTCGATCCTTCCACATTTAAAGTTTTCATGACATTTTTGCACGCCGAAATGGTACGTCTTTCAAGGAGCAGAGTATCAAATCTAATATTTCAACTGTTTAAACCCCCCGTGGGATATAATCTAAAACAGCTCCAGCCGTTCACATACGTTTATACATACTTCCTTTAATTTGATTTCAGTATATACCGACACAGCCCAAGGTAGGGACTAAACCAATGATTCGATACTTATACCAAAGAGTCACTATATTGGGCATAGTTAGGATTAAGAGGGTGTAGCTCTTTAAAATTATGGGTTCCTACCAGCAAATTATATTATTACATTGTCATTACATAGCGAGGTCGTATAAAAATACATATGAATCGTGAGTGACAGATAAGCATGAATGATCAACCGTAGGTATTAGCAACAATTGGAAACAATGATAAGGCGTTAAAACCATTGGGTCCTACAACTGCAATTACGTCTTATGCTTGAGGACGGACGATTGCTTGTGGATCATTCACATTGGTATTTAATAACTGAGTGATAAAGAACATAGTTACTCTATTTGGACTGCGTATGGACATCTTTTTCAGGTTCTTGCTATAATCGGAACACACATCATATGCACGAGTACATGTACAACGGTACATTCCCACATTATCAATCTTCGTTTTAATCTTTTCAAAGTATGCAATTACCATTTTGGGGTAAACCTCTTGTAGTGATTCACAACTTCGACCGTTTTGATTTTGTCAATTAACAACCTAAGATTGTTTGCTATCTTGTTTGATATTTGCGTTTCCGATTTTAACAATCTTGGTTGGTTCGTTTGACTTCAGACAGGTATGAGAGAAATTCTGCTCTTTCAACTTGCGTATGAA